CCCCCTCCCCCATCCTTCCTCCCGCCCTCATGAACTCTTGATAATTTATAAAATTATTTTTCAGTCTTATCTTGAGGACCTCATACTATTAGAATACGTACCTAATATTTGGAAGTCTATTCCGAGGCGGCTCTTTCTGTGTGTGCTGAAACAACCAAAGTCTGAACGGGTCCCCTTTCTAGTTTCCCTCCCATCTTTTGTTTCTGCTCAAGTCGTAAAGCGGTCCAGCGGCTCTTAGGGACAAAGCTGCTTTTGATCAATTTTCAAAGGCACTTCTGCAACCGAGGGCCTTGGAGCAGACACTGCTACACGGCTAACGTGGCGTACTTCTTATTTTCAGAATCCTAGGAATAGCTTTCCTTCCTATCAATGCGTGCGTTTTAGAAAGCACAATTTCAAATGTCTTGGCAGCTTTTAATTGATGTATTTCGCTGCTGAAAGCAAACAGAGCTGTTTCCTAGAATAACAGAGAAGGCTAGGTAGCAGTTGTTCACTTAAACACTAGTCCTCGTACAGTAACAGACTGAGGCTCACCTTTTCGCCAGTAGAATTCAGTTTTTTAACTATCCAGACCCCACAAGCCCGGTACAGTCACTCAATCAAGGCAGAAATGGAGGGGAGAAGGCAAACGAAAGTTCCAACGTATTTCCTCCCAATTAATTGCTTTTACTTTCATGTTTCGTTTTCAAGAATGAGACCCAAAAATTTGCATTTTACATTTAGGGTTTAAGGGGGAAAAGCAGAGATATGAGAACTTGGGGTACTTTGTTAAGAAAATCAAGTGTCTGAATAACCCACTATCTAAAATACCAAGTGCTTAGCTTCCTCATGAAAGAACCCTCCCGTTTGCAGACAAAGATCCACGACTTGGTAGAGGGAGCTCCATTCGGCCGTATTTGTCTGGGGAAAGAAAGGCTGTCAACAAGCTGAGATTTCTTTTTCTTTTTTTAAAAAATGGGAAAATAGCTTTCTAGTTCACATTTCTTAAATCTTTAAAATAAAATGAAGTAGTATCTATTTTGAAAACTTTTATTCATGAACAACAATTGAAAAACGCAACTTAAGACCAGCTCATTATTAAAGAAGCCAATAAGCTAAGATACGTTTTCTTTAAAAATGTAAAGTCTAAAACAGGGGTCCTCAAACTTTGTAAACAGGGGGCCAGTTCACTGTCCCTCAGACCCATTGGAGGGCTGGACTATCGTTTAAA